GGACGGCCCCGCTGGTGGCCGGGCCTGGAGGGTTCCTCTCCCCGTCCCCGCCGAAGGGCTCCGGGCGGCCGCCCCGCCTCACGCGTGGGCTTCGCCTCTGGGTCTGAGCGGGAGCGGTCTGTCGGGGGCTGTGGTGGGTCCCCGCTCCCGTGGGCAGCGGGTGCGTGTCTCCCGACCCCCGCGCTTTGGTGAGGTGGAAAGTGAGCGTGAAGATCCTCGGTCCGGTGTAACGATAATCTTTCCCATAAAATCCGGACCATAAACACCCTTGGGCACGTCGGTGGCGTTCGGCGAGTGCTGCGGTGAGCTGATGCCGCAACAGTTCGCTGAAGTTCTTCGCAGCATAAGGCTTGGAGGACTGCTGCTTTTTGGGGTTGGCTTTTTTCCCCTAAGCGCTCTGTCATTAACTTGACTAAAGTCGTTAATGAATGAAACAAATTTTATGGGTTTTCATCTGCAGAGGTGGTCTGAAAATCTCATTTTCTGTGGCATTTTCAGGAGGCATATGTCACAACACAGCAAAAGACATCGTATCACTAGCAAGTACCACCGGGTTTTTTTGTAGTGGAAAAAAAAACCGAATAGCTAGAGGAAGAGAAAGAAATAAGAGTAAGCAGGTAGCAGGTGAAAATATTTCTCCTTTGTATGAGGGATGGAGCAGTGGGTTCAAATCTTCACATTTGGCCTTCAAAGTAAACTCACAGTCAGCTTGACGATTATTTTTTACACAGGTCCCTATATTAGATATGTATGTGAGGTATTGGTAAAAGGCCATTCAGGATTGCCATCTCCTTTCAGTTTGGTTTCCCATTTGAGTTAAGTCTTCATGAGTGATTTCTACATGGGTTTGCACCTCGGCCTTACAAACTTCCTTGGGCCAGATAATTTATATTTTTTTAATTATGAAAGATTAAGTATTAGTTTTAACATCACAGTAATGATGCACGAGGCTCTTTTGTAGAACAGATGAGCCAGTTGTTATTAGTGTTGTTTGGTTATGCTGTCCTTTATTGAGATTTTGTTAGTTCATCTGAATTGGTGAACAAGACTACAGACAAGTAAACCCCAAAGAGGGAAAGGGGGTGAAACATGGGAAGTGTGGATTTAGGTGGATTTGTACTTTTTTGCAAAATATGTCAGATCTTAATTACTCATTAAGATTCATTTAATTCAAGAAGATACTGTTGCACTCTCTTTTAGTGGTAGCATAGATGCTATAGTTAAAGTAAAAATTTTGTCATTAAAACTCATTGCCTTTTCAAGCATGCTTGTATAGAAACTATATTTATTGCACTGATAATCAACATGGAATAAATCCAAAGCAGGACAGACAAATTTCAGTCTATTTTGCCAATTAGAAACTTCAGAGAAAAAATGGAAATCTTTGCTTCCTCATTACTTCTGTAGGGAGTGAACTGTGCTGCTGGTGGTAAGAAAGGTGGGCAGAATTGATGATGATGTCCTGAACAACATGTCCATTAAAGCATGTCTTGCTACTGTTTTAGTGTTACCTTAATTTTAATTATTCTAATTAAAGCTGTGAAGTTAATGTATTACTGTGGTAAGTATGAGAATGTGTGGGAGGATTACTAGAGAGGAGTAATTTAGACTTATTGCACAGAGTTATTCTGTAATAAGTATTGCAGTTCAAATTAACTCCCACCCTAATCTAAGTTAATTTTACAGGGTGGACAAACCCTCTGGCTTTGCGCAGTCTTTTGTCTCTTTATAAAAAAAAATAATTTTCTGCTGAGAGTTTTCTTTGACAATGCGTGTTTAATTTTAAACAAGCCTTGACTCCCCAATATGCTTATTGTTCTATTTATGATTATGTGGGGCAGGACTACACAGCTTTTTCAACTAAGAACAGGTTTCTGGAGCTGACGCTAGTTCTCAAAAGCAAACCCAAACTCCTGCTGTCCTGGAGTTACCCTTACCTGAAAGGGTGAGAGATCATCTTTTGGCTATACCTGGTTCATGATTTGCTGGATGTGTGATCCTGTTCCAGGAGTTTGGTTTCAATAAACTAGACAATAACAGTTAGGTGTAGTTGAAGAAATGGAATGTTTTCTGTTTTGTGCTTGCTGCACGCTAGCTGTTGTTTCATTGGGTGAGACAGATAAGATGGGACCATGCTTTATGAGGTGTAGTCAAAAAGAGGTGATGTGTGTTTTCTGTGGAAACTAGTTTTACATATGTGCAGCTTATAGGATAGATTTTTCTGATCTGTATTTATAACAAAGCTACTTGTGGGTTTTAGGTTCTGCCAAAATGGAGCTGAGTGATGCGAATTTACAGACTTTAACTGAGTATCTAAAGAAAACACTAGATCCAGATCCTGCTATAAGGCGTCCTGGTAAGTGATTCTCATGAGTGATGAAAAAAATTTAGTTTCTTTTTGGCTCTTCTGTCTGTGTATAGCAAACTTCAGTGGATGTTTATGCAATAACCTCTTTGCATAAGCTCTCAGTATCCTTTTAAAACAAAATAAACCGCCAAACCAGTGATTGATATAAATTGATATTTTTTGCTTTTTGTGATTTTATTTTCCTGTATTCATGATTTTTTTGTACTGTTGTTATTTAAGACAGTGCTGCTGCTCACAGTAAACCAGGATTTACTTCTGTCAGGTTATGTCTTTTAAAAACGGTGAGGAGGCGGCATTTCCACATCCCACTTTGAATTGAGAGCTTTTGTTAATAGCAGAAGCATTAAAGAGCTTAGTAGTAAAGAAGCTACAGTACCTTTGGTTAGACTTGTTCTGTGTTTCTCTTCTTGCGAAACTCTGGGGAAGTGTTCATGTGTTGATTATTTTAAATAGATGCTTGAAGAATCCTAGGACTCCCATTAGAAAAATCAGCTCAGCATTTGCTAACCTTAGTATATTCTCTTACAGCGGAAAAGTTTCTTGAGTCAGTTGAAGGAAGCCAGAATTATCCATTGTTACTCTTAACGCTGCTGGAGAAATCACAGGAAAATGTCATCAAAGTTTGTGCATCTGTAACATTCAAGAATTATATTAAAAGGAACTGGAGAATTGTAGGTATCCTAGTGAGTAGTTGTGCTAAGACCTAATAATCCTTTTAAGGTACAATAAGACATTCTGCAGTAACCTTGAAGAAGGTGTGTATGTCTGTCCTCTGTGAAAGAAATTAGATCATTCAGAGAACAAACACAAGGTGTAATTTACTGACGGGGGACTAAAACCTGGACCGTTGGAGTCCATTCTACTAAAAAAAACTAGAGCTGGGTGATAAAATGATGAATAAATAATTTTCTCTAATAGTGTATGCATATTTTGCAGAAGCATAATATTTAAAGCTCATTTAACTATCAGTAACATATTTAGTCATATTATTTAAACTAAAATGATTGTGAATTGTCTATACACATGAACTGGCCAGTTTGGCCTGTATCTATTGTCATAGTGTTACAAACATTTCAAGCCAGCGCTGCAGCTGAAAGTGATGATACTAACTTCCCTTTCATGTAAACGCGTCTGGGGCAAAGAATAGTTTGGGACAGTTTATTTTGGTGGCCTTGCCAGTTTAACACTTGTAGACATAAACTAGAAGTATTGCCGTTTAATCCCATTTTATCCTTTGTTTTGAAGAGGTCAGAAACATTTTTGATCAGAGCTTTCAGCATTCATGAAATTGAATTTAGGGTAGAAAGTATTATGTTTGAGAGCTCAACTCCTTCAGCCATGAGAGATTTTAATTGATACTGTTTATACTGTGTCTCATTGAAAGTACTGTTTGTATCTGAAAATAATCAACTAAACTACTATATACATAGGTTTACTACAGTGAAACTGGTATTTCTTCATTACGTCTTAGCTGGTACCTATTTACAAATTTGCATGTGATTACCCCCCATACTAATATTAAGAAGCTATAGCAGCCCTAGTTCTGGTTACATCTGATCGGATCAGTGCATTCAGTCTGGCATGAAATTTCTAGAACTTTGTTTCTGTAATACTATGTTCTCGGTCATTTCTCCCAAATTGCATTTTAACTGTAGTATATTGTAAGTAGAAATAATGCTGTGTTATGGAAGAAATTGTAAGTGGCTTCCTTTTTGTGGATTGCTGATGTAATTCAGGATGAGATTTTGTTTTGGAGTAGGTGGAGATGCTATGCAATAAGTGCATCCAGTGGACTGTTATGATTGCTATGTGGCTTCAAGCACATTGTTTTGTCCAAAATTGAAGCTTTCATTTCAAAAGCAGCTGTATGAACATAAAATACAGCCCTAAGGCTAGCTTACCTAGATCACGTCATTTAATTTAGCAACCTTGGACTTGGCTGATACAAAGCTAGTGGAAGTGATAGGGTTTTGCCTGTTCCAGGACTTGGATTTGTTAGAGCCTGGAGAGCCAGATGTACAGGGCACTTGTAAAGAGAGGGAAGAGTTTGCTAGTTTAATTTATTTTTAAAGTATGTACAGAATACTCATCTATGTGCTGCCTCTCGTGTCTTGGAAAAAGGTCTCGTTTCTTTGAAAAATCTCATAAATATCTCCATAGTAGGATTTGCTGTTGCTGATCTCTCCACCACCTCTGTCCTCATCTATCTAAATGCATAGCAGAGAGTCTTGCCTCCCTACATGGAACTTGCTTTCTGCAGTTATTGCTGCCTTTCACATCATATAAACTTGTGAAGCTCAGGTTTTAAAGATCAACTTATTTTTGTTGGGTTTTTTTTTTTTGGTGTATATATAATGATTCTGTACATTCTTCTGATTCAGTGTAATGTGATAGAAGCAGAAAAGCAAGTTCTTTGTGTCTTACTTTTGTAACTGCTTGTTTATAGCTAAACATAACTCTTGAAATTTTGAAATGACTAAACGTTTTTTTAAGTTTATGGGAAGATGGTGGAAGGGAGGTAAGACAGAGGGTAGTAGTGCCATCTGGCTTAAGCATCTTAAGGTCATTGAATTATTCTCTGGAGGTGCTTAGCACTTCTAATTGCTGGATAATTTCTAGGTTTATTAACTTTGGTGCTGTCATCACAAATAATGTGACTGGTTGGTGATAAGCCCCTTTTTTTTTTTTTATTTCTTTAGTAGAAATTTTGTAATTGACTACCACTAGGCACTGTTAACTGATTGATATTTTGAACTGATTAGGTAACTCTTAATGTTATGGTTTTGGTGGTGTAGCCTGCACCCATCTTCACGTACAGTTTCTAGAAAGTATGGCTTGAGGCAGCTTGCACAAAGTAAATCTTTGAGGTTGGCAGAAGTGAGGACAGAGACGTGGTTTGGTGAGCTGGAAGAGGAGACTATTGGTTAAACTTATGTATGTTATTGGCATATGCACCCACTCCTATTATGTCCGAATTGCTGATTTGGAAAGTCACTCTTAGAGAGGGAGAAAACTAGTTCAACGTTTTACAGAAAGATGTAGTTTCTTTCAGCTTTTTTCAGGTACTGCTGTTATAGATCCATTGTAGGCAGTATCTTTAACAGGTCTTCCTCTTAGTTTCTTTAACTACGTAGTAGTTACATAAATCAGTATAAGCAATTGGTTTCTGAAATGCTGATACTTGCTCATTGCCTAGAGTATACTGATATGCCCATGACTTAATTATTGTTTTAATTTTAGGTTGAGGATGAACCGAACAAAATATGTGAATCAGACAGGATAGCCATTAAAGCCAACATAGTGCCCTTGATGCTTAGCAGCCCAGAACAAATTCAAAAGCAGGTAATATGTTAATTCCTGGTTATGTCCACAAGATTCTCGAAATATTTTAAGTGTGTCTAGAGGCTCTGATTATTGGCAGAGCTCAGTTCCCTTACCAATGAGGTCATCCCAATCCAAGTAACATGAAGTATATTGTCACAGCTACTTCTGCCTACTTTAATTCTGTAATTTTTTTAAGGCAATTACTGTATAACCTTATAGCTAAGTTCTAGCATTAGGCACTTAAATACAGTAATTCCAGAAAGTGACACTGTGTGTACACATTGGATTTAAAGTGAGATTTCTTTATTTGTGGTGAAAACTAGTAGATATTTAACCCAATGATTTTTGAATCTGACAAGAATAGTGAGCATTTTTCTTAGATATTTGCAGCATCTGACATGACCACTGTGTTTTTTTGTAATGAGGAACCTGCTATGACATCGCGTAATGGTTATGTTTCCTTTCCAGTTAAGTGATGCTATTAGTATTATTGGTCGGGAAGACTTTCCTCAGAAATGGCCAGACTTACTGACAGAAATGGTGAATCGCTTTCAAAGTGGAGATTTCCATGTCATTAATGGGGTCCTTCGCACTGCTCACTCTTTATTTAAAAGGTATTGGAAATAAGGGGGTTAGTATATGGATTGTAAATTTCTGTTCAACTCTATAAAATTAACTCTAACGGTAAAAATTTAGATCTACAAGGTCTACAGTTGTGGCTTCTACTTATGCTTACTGACTTTTTAATAAGAACTTAAGTGGTTGTCAAATTGTACGCCTTGTATGGTATTCAACTGTGTTGTTTATTGTTTGCTTGACGGTATTTGTTTTAAGGTTCAGCACGAAAAATTAATTGTATGAAAGTTAATTTAGTAATAAATGTGAAGACTGTATTCTGTTTTTTGTGTATTTCTCTTTCACTTGTCAGGTACCGCCATGAATTTAAGTCAAATGAACTATGGACAGAGATCAAACTTGTCCTTGATGCTTTTGCTTTACCCTTGACAAATCTCTTTAAGGTATTTCTTTTTGAATCGTTTCTAAAACAAGTTTAGCATTCTGAAATGCTTGTTGTGAGTGCCTGCAAAATGAAAACTTCAGAATAGTTGCTTTGGAACTGTTAATGAGGTTCAAACTAAAGTCAGGAAGTGAGACCTGACAAGATTGATAAGGGGAGCAAAAGGAACTGTGTTCTCTGTTTGCTTGTGGTTTTGTTTTGTTTTTAAAGTGTTATGGGATGCTTTTCAATACCTCTTGTCAATGTGGGGGGCTGTGTATGTGTTACTTGACTGAATCTTATGTCTTTTTCTAGGCAACTATTGAACTTTGCAGCACACATGCAAATGATGCTAGTGCTTTGAAGGTTCTCTTTTCTTCTCTCATTCTAATTGCGAAGCTCTTCTACAGTTTAAATTTTCAGGTGAATCTCCTTGTTCTTCTAATAGTTTTGCTTTGGTCTCACAAAGCTGTTATGCTCTTACTTATATGATCCATTTGAGGCAGCCTTTAAGGCCACGCTTTATCGCAAAAATAAAAGTTGACAGTCTGCGTCAACACTAGAGTAAAGGCACAGTAAGGATGGGGTTAATTAACATGTTAACTTGGCCCTATCTAAACAGAAGTTCAAGAGAGTCTAAGCTCTTGTCATAGCAAGGAGGCATTGCATGGGTAGCCGAGTATGAGCTGTGAAAGACAGAAGTCAAATGCCTGAGTTTGTACTGTGCTCCTTTGTAAATGTCTGTAGTGACGTGAACTCGGTCATGTAGATGAAAGCCAGTTAAAACTAGTAGTTCTGTAGCACTATAGTAGTGAGCAATTCTGGTAGGAATGTGGGTATTTTTGTTTTGAAATCAGATCTAAATGTCTAACATTATTAAATAAATGCACTATCTGAAAAATAAAAAGATACTTTGCTGAGGTGACATATATTTTGTGTCTCAACACAAACGTAAGTCTGTGAAGTGAGATGATCATGCCTTGATTGCTTGGGCTGTTCTTCCATACTGGTCAAAAGAGCAAGCTGGAGCTAAAAGGAAGGCTTGTGCTCTCTTGTTCTGAGGGTAAGAGGCAATAAGGTTCTTTCTTTATAAAACTGTAGGCTGTAAAGGGTGTAAGCAAAGGGTATAGGTATATCTGGAAATAGTGTATTCCAAAGCCTCTGTGGAGGGTTTTCATTTGGGAGGAGGAGGTGGTAGTGTTTCATTTTGAAGATTGTTTTCCACACTTTGTTGTCCCTCGGTAGATTATAAGGTAGATACATACTACTTACAATGTAGGTATGTTATCTAAGCAGTGCAATCAGAAATTAAAATGTAGATTTATGCTTTTCCTTCACAGGATCTTCCTGAGTTTTTTGAAGATAACATGGAAACATGGATGACAAATTTTCATAGTCTTTTAACTTTAGATAATAAACTTTTGCAGACTGATGTAAGTACTGCATAAACCTCCTGGTCTTGAAACAGTTGAACATAGAAGGCATAACACCCCTAAGTACTTCAGCATTTGCTGTCTTTGTCTAATTATAAGACGTAGTAGTGTCGCAGGTGAAAGATGCTACCAAGTCATCAAAGCTCAGATTAATTTTGAGCATGCTTTCTGCATTTTAAATACTGATGTCCTCCAGAAACAGTACAATAGTTTGCCACATGATGGAGCCAAAGCAACTCTAGAAGTGTCTTTACAATAGGTAGGGAGGCATATTAAGTGTATCCTGTGCTATAGTTTCACAGTTGTTTTAGGCTAACACTGCTGCTAAAAGCAGCTTTGCTGCTCTTTTCTCTTCTCTTGTGTCTGTGGGCTGTTGCCCAGCACAGACATTCATGCATTTGTGTGCTGAACTGAGTGAGGAAGCGATATGCATTAAAACTGGAAAGTGGGGATTGGCAGGGGGAGATGGAACTGGGGTGCTGTTTCGTTGTTTGGTGTTTTTTTTTTTTTAATTTCAGCTCAATTTCCCAATTCACTTTGCTTTGTGGCTCCACAAGCATCTGTGCTGGTATGGGGAAGGGGAGGGAGCTGCTTTTACAACTATTCCAATTTAAAGTGGCAGGATACGATGTCTTCTGAGCATATTATTTCAATATCTTGTAGGGGTTTTTGTATTACATTTATAAATTAATTTCATGTCAACCTTTATCAGGTCTAAGTGATTTTAAGTGAATTGTACTTTCATTTGAAATGTAGGTATGATTTATAACTTGCAGTGCAGTTCCAGTTCAAATCAGCAAAATACAGTAATTCTGCGGATGTGAGAGGGATTTCTTTCACCTATTTAGAACATGGCAAAATAATAGCGTAAATATTTCCTTCAAGTCTGTTGATACTGATAATGTTTAAGTGGTGTTGAAGTTTGGATGTTTAAGTTCTTAGTTTTGTTTTATGTGAGGATGAAGAAGAAGCTGGATTACTGGAACTCCTGAAATCACAAATTTGTGATAATGCTGCTTTATACGCTCAAAAATACGATGAAGAATTCCAGCCCTACCTGCCACGTTTTGTAACAGCAATCTGGAATCTGTTAGTCACAACGGGCCAGGAAGTGAAATATGACTTGGTAAGTTGTTATAAACTGATCTTGTTAAATTTAATAATGAATTATAAATTGGTCAGTCATGCTAAAACTCTGTGCTGTGTTTGTCTTGTTCTAGCTGGTTAGTAATGCAATCCAGTTTCTGGCCTCAGTTTGTGAGCGACCACATTACAAGCATCTGTTTGAAGACCAGAATACATTGACAAGCATCTGTGAAAAAGTTATTGTTCCCAATATGGAATTTAGAGGTAACTTTTAGAGACTTACGTTTTCAAAGGCGCAACAAAATCTAACTGTAATTAGAATGATATGTAGCTTTGCAGGACTAAGATGTGAGGATTACCTCTTGTGTACATTAGCACTAGGTTCAAACCCAAGTTTCTACAACAGATCGCTGTCTTATTCTTTGTAGAATTGTATATGTATATCTACTAATTTTTCCATCTTACTGGGATCTCAAATTGAAAAGTATAGTAAGTCTACATCATGTGCCACCAATAACTTTTCATGATTAAAGTAAGTATCAGAGTAATTCAAGGAGTCTAAATAGGCGTGGATATCAGGCCTGTGAAATGTTGTCTATTTTGACAAGTTTTGATGGGCTCATACTGCTCCTAGAATCTAAAATGCAGTGAAGATGTATTGCAGTGATAAGAAGCTTCTCTCCTAAGTCTATGGTTCTGGAAGCCTCTTTAAATACACTTAGTGTTGAGTATGTTCTGTCTTTTTTCTGTCTGTTTTTTTTTTTAAATCAGGAATACATAAGCTCATGAGTATATGAGCAGCAGCAGGCTAAACAGGCTAGTCTGGCTGGATATTTCTGATTGATTTCTATTAACGTTATAGAAAAGTACTTGGAAAAAATAGCAAGTTTATAATAATACACCTTTTTACCATAAAACGAGGCCTCAGTATTTAAACTTCTATGTATTTCATATTTTCAGCGGCTGATGAAGAAGCATTTGAAGATAATTCTGAAGAATATATAAGAAGGGATTTGGAAGGATCTGGTAATCCACAGATTTATACTAAGAATACTTGGTCTTTAAATATAGGTCTAAAGAGCTGAAGCAATTTACTGAAGCTTTCATAACTTTTTTAAACAGGGAAGGTTGCTGCCCACCCCCCCCCCCCCAAAAAAAAAAAAAATTTATCTAGTTTTTTATCAAGTTTACTGTCATGGTGTGCCTATCACAGTGTCTTTTTGTTTTGAACAATGTTTTTATAGGGTTTTTTCCTTAATTGGATTGGTATGTCTCCCACACTGCACACATTCTCATTTCAGCAAATATAGCCTGTAAGTCAATGCTGAATAGTGGCCACAGTTGTGTATTTAGTTCCTATGTGCAGAGTTTTAAATAACATGGAGAGACTGTGCCTGTATTTAGTAGTCTGTCATGTTAAAACTGAAATTCTGACTGGTGTTGCATACAAATCTGGTATCAAGCCAGCTGGACACCAGCCAGCCCTTGCACGCCAGCGGCGTCTTCAAACCAATACAGTAACCGTCCTGAAAACACAGCTCTCTGTTAACAGAGATACGTCATTTTTCTTCATTGTAGCTGTCTGGTCTTCAGCCACGTCAGAGCACAAGTGGACCAAATCTAGATCTGTATGACAATTCTGTATATGCTGTTCTGTGCCACAAACAGTTTGCTGACTGATGCTTTTAGATTAATGACACTTCATAGTAGATTTAAGAAATTACTGTTCACTTGGAGTGGAGGACAAAAATTGGAGGAAAATGTTTTTGAACTTTTTTCAAGCAAATGTTTTTCCATTCTTATCCAGGATTGAGAAGAAGTATTGAAGCAAGAAGTATTTGTGTTCTTCAGAGACTATTTTAGAAATGTACTCTACTGCATTTAAATTGACTTGCTTTATTTTGCTTCTGTTAGTATATTGTATTAAAGGCCAGCTGACTTCTTTTTTTCCTTTCTTGAAACAAGGAATTCTTATGGATACTTTTTTTCCCCCAAAAAATATACTGATTCAGTGTGGTGAGCCAGCAGCCTAGCACCACACAGCACCTTGCTAGCTTCCCCCCATACGGCAATGGGATGAAGGAGAGAATAGGGAGAGTAAAAGTGAGAAGACTCATGGCTGGAGATAAAGACAGTTTAAGTGAAAGAAAGAGGAAGAAAAAAGAAGGGGGGGGGGGGGGGGGAATGCTCAGTGACTCACCATCTCCCAGGAGTAAGCTGATGCCCAGCCTGTCCCTGAGCAATGGCTGCCTCCCAAAAAACCCTCTCCCCTCAGTTTTTATTGCCAAGCATGATGTCATATGGCATGGAATATCCCTTTGGTCAGTTTGGATCAGCTATCCAGGCTGCGTCCCCTCCCAGCTGCTTGCCCACCGCCAGCCTACTTGCTGGGAAGAAAAAGGAGAAAGCCTTGACACTGTGCAAGCACTCCTCAGCAACAGCCAAAACACTGGGGTGTTATCAACAGTTTTCGTCACCAGTACAAAACAGAGCACCATATGGGCTGCTATGAAGAAAATTGTCTGTCCCAACCAGATTCAGCTGCATAATTGCCAACATAGTAAAAAGCCTCCCCTTGCATGCTTACTGAAATTTTAGAGGGCAGTAAAACCTGTGAGTATGCGTGCAGCATTGGTAGGTGTCCAGTCCTGGTTTTGTTGTACAAATGGCCCCTATTATGACCGTAAGTAAAAGATTTAAATGTGTTCTTATGCATCAGTGTGGAGGATTGAAGGTGTGGCTGTAACTTGAGAAGCTGTATATTATGAATATATTACTGTTATTATTACATTTATTAATATGACAAGCTGTATACTTTCTCATATCCAAAGAATCTTTGGTTCTCATGCAGATATTGACACCAGGCGCAGAGCAGCTTGTGATCTCGTCAGAGGCTTGTGCAAATTTTTTGAAGGACCTGTGACAGGGATTTTTTCTGGATATGTTAATTCTATGCTGCAAGAATATGCAAAGAATCCATCTGTTAACTGGAAGCACAAAGATGCAGCTATTTACCTCGTTACGTCTTTGGCATCCAAAGCTCAAACACAGAAGGTACTTTTACATCCTATTCATTTTAATCCATATGCATTCAAGTATTATAGCGTATGTGAGGACTGCAATTCATTTTATGCTGCTTCAGACTGAGAGTAACTGTATTTGTAATAGTTTACTGTTGATGAGATTAAAAATTGTCCATTATATAATCCTGTAAGTTGGTAATTTGGTGAATCAGTAATTTGGCGGTATGAGATCTTCAGGTAGATTGGGCCAAGACAACATCCACTTGTGACCTTTTGGCAGGTCTTATTAGCATGTGTGAAGCAGTCATACAAAGAAGCAAAATTAGCTTGGGTCTAGAACCTCTGAGCTTTTAAATGGTACTGAGCCAGAGTTTGTAAGCCACGAAAGGCTAAATTTAGCTTTAGAGAAGAAGATCAGAAGTGTTAAGCAGACTAGAAGGAATCTAAGTGACTCACAGTTCTTGTCATTATATTTCCCAATGTTTCCTGTTATTTGAGTGTTTATGATTTGGCAATGGCATGTGAATGCTAATGATGGCTGGAAATGGATCTCATTAATTGTCTGGGAGAAAGCAACTAATAGGCTGGATACATTGAAAAGCCACACCTGAGCTAAGCTGTATTGGGAAACAGTGGCATTGTATCAAATGTCCTACAAAACAGATTTTAATATGCTAATAAATATTTTAAATGTTACTACAGTTCATATCTCAGTGGCTTTACAAGACAAGTTTGAGGCAAACAGTTGTGCTACAAAAAAAGCATGTTTTACAACATCTTTATGCAATTTTGCTGAAGGTTCTCAGTCTTTCCCTGAAACCTCGTTGTATAGAACTGCGCAGCAATTGCTAATGGTAGTGATGCGTAATGTGAACCAGAGTCTTCTAGCAATTAAAACTGCTAAGTTGTACGTCTTTCTTTTTATGTGTTGTTTAGTGGCGAATATGGGATAAGATCAGTTAGAACACCTGCTAAATATCCATCTGAAAATCCTATTTTAAAAATCAGTTGCATTTTTCATAAGAGAAAACTTAAGTAGTTGTTATTTTGCTGCTCTAACTCAGAATTGGAGTTTGAGTCCTAAACTTTTCCTTTTTAAAAGGTCTATCACAAAAAAAGTATCAAATTAGTAAGACTTTGATATTTTCTATCTAAAATTTTCATTGATTATTGCTGTGTTACATGCTATTATTCCTCAAGTCAGAGCTGGCAACTTTGAACCTTGATAGTGCTACAGCTGAAACCTAGACACTAAAAACATTAAGAAAAAGAAATTACAGGGTGCTCTGCTAAAGATGCAACTTCAACAATCTCATCACATGCATGAACACTTTAGATTCCTTTTATTAAAAGCACGTAAAAATGAGTAAGAAAACTAGCTGAATGTCAGCATCTAAAACCAGAGTTGTTTTGGTTTTTGTTTTTCTAGCATGGAATAACACAAGCCAATGAACTTGTTAATCTGACAGAATTCTTTGTGAATCACATTCAACCTGACTTGAAGTCTGCTAGTGGTAAGTTAATGTTAATTTTGATGTGGCATTTTTTGTGGTATATCTACAACCTTGACAGTGACCATTGTTTCTTAAGGCTCAGGCACTCATATACCAGCATAACCTCTGAAACAGAAGACTGTTCACACCTAGCACACAGGAATTAATTCAAATTTGTTTGGCCTCCAATGAATGAGCTTTTAAATAAAGGTGGATTACCACATCTTATCTGCAAAATCAGAACATGTACACACATGGTTTCTATCAGCCACATGCTCGAACTTGTTGAATCAAAGTAATTTGATTTCTGTGTTTAAGACCTTATGGCAAACTTCTATGCTGTACAAAACCCTGAGCAATGAAAATAGTGAAGGCTAGGTCTGTATCAGCCCATACTGATGAGATTACACATATCTAGATTTAAGCCACATAATTTATGTTATGCTTCAGCAATTATCTTACGATATTTGGAATGTAGTGGGTTGTCTTGGAATATGTAATTGGAAGCTGGTAAAATCAGAGCCAGAAGGGGAGGTTTCATGTGAAAGAGTTGGACTGTATACTTAATGGGACGGGGGTGTGATTTGTACCTAAAAGGGACATTCTAACAGAGCCCATACAGAAACTAAGCAACATAAAAAAACATTGTATGTATTATTTTTGAGGGGGAAAATCATGACTGAATATCAACTCTATATATAGTATATGTTCAGTAATCACATTTATATGAAAAGTATCAACAAAATTTGCATATTTTTCTATTGCAGTGAATGAATTCCCTGTGCTAAAAGCAGATGGTATCAAATATATCATGATTTTTAGAAACCAAGTAAGTTTTTCTTTTATGGTAAAAACAATGTTTGTTACTTTATACTTGCCAAGCCTAATTTATCTTACTTGGCCATATGTTAACTCAACAGGTGTTTGATAGTCATATATGACACTTCACGCTGAATTTTTAGTTTTGAAAGTAAATTATATTGTTATAAATATCCAATTAACATGCAGTCTGTATGCTATATCCATATGCTGTGGGAGCACTGAACATCTTAGCATGCTTAGTTCTGTGACACGCTCAGACTTTTTCAAGTGTATGTTAGTCTAAATGTACTTGATTGCTCGTATCATTGCAATAATTGTTAAAGAGAGTACAGCAACTTTGTCCTTTACCTTTTCTGATTTGTGAGATGCAGTAAGAAAATATATTGAGTATTATTTCTAAATTTTAGATGACCTTTATTCACCTCTTATGAAATATCTGTGATCATTTTTTTTTGAGCTTGGCATTTTTTTAGTTGCCTGTTAAGACCAAGTAAAATGGAAAAAGAAATATACATTGGGAATATATACACTTACTGACAATCAAATGCAACATTGATGTTTGGGGGCAGCATACAAGCGATGACAGAAATAGTACCTCATGGTTGTGAAGGTGTGATTTAGCAACTGGAGGAGCCGTCTAAGATTTGTTCCTCTGCCAAGCTTTCAGTTTGTATCCGATGAGCTTAGAGTGGTTATGCTCCAGTGTTGAACCATCTGTATTTTTATGTAACGTATGTATAATTTGTTGCTATATTTTTGTAGGTACCTAAAGAACAACTGTTGGTATCTATTCCTCTCTTAATCAATCATCTCCAAGCAGAAAGTATTGTGGTCCATACTTATGCAGCCCATGCTCTTGAAAGACTGTTTACCATGAGGGGGACAAATAATACTACCCTGTAAGTTTTCAGGCAGAAGTAAATTCATTGCTACCTAGCTTTTGTCCATTAAGGATGAGAAATATCTGTAGGGAATCTTTTATTTTTTAGTATTACAATATTGTAAAATGCTTGTAGTTTGTGAATATCTTTCATCATTAAAGAGCTGTGTTTTACTTAACAGCATTACAGCTGCAGAAATGGCACCATTTGTAGAAGTGCTATTAACAAACCTTTTTAAAGCGCTGACGCTTCCTGGCTCATCTGAAAATGAATACATTATGAAAGGTAAATGCTTTGAGTTCTGCAATGTAAGAGTAACTTTTTTAACTTGAGGTAAAGGCTTATAGTTACAGGGTAGTGAAATTCTTACTTGAAAAACCTAATTTCTGCAAACACGCTGAAGAGGTATGCACAGCCTGCAGTCATTTACCAGGCTGTAGGAAGTCATCTTTGACTAAATATATGCTACCAACGAGAGACACTAAACATGACGGTATTGAGACAAGTTCTTCCTCAGATGGTAGTCCTTGTAGTCAGGACAGCTACCTGAGCACTGTCAGTAGGAGATCTGAGTGGGTTGTGGCTAAGAGTAGGCCAAGATTTGAGACTCGCTTGAGGTAAATGATAGTCTTTGCAAAGTTGCTTAATCTTCTGTGCTCCATCTATAGAATGGGGATAATGAGGCTTTGCTTTATCCTTTGCCATGATTATAGATTGATTGCTCCTGCAGCAGGTGCTCTTTCTTACTGTACCTAATTCCTTGGGATCCGATTAAATAGTGAAAGGTAAAGGATTTAGGCATATGATGGGTGACAGAAGTATGTTTGTCTCCAGAAGATAATACTTTCAATTTATTTCCAGCCATCATGAGGAGTTTTTCTCTGCTACAAGAATCCATAATTCCATACATCCCTTCTGTCATCACACAGCTTACACAGAAACTGCTGGCTGTCAGTAAGGTAAAGAAACAGGTTATCTGAGCAAAATGTTCGCCTTTTACCTTTTAGAGCAGTCTTTCTAAAGATTTATGTATACCTTGTTGTTTGTGTTCTGTTAGAGTATTGTAAATTGTTCAGTATTTTCTGACTAAAATAAGTTAGAACAGTCTTCAAGTTGAAATACTGTCTTCCTTTTAGGACATACTTTCAAATCATTCTCCCCAGCTCTCATCTGAAATTTGGAAACAGCATATGAAATCTTTATGTAGTAGTAGTTTGTTCTAGGATTGATGTTTGCTTGTGCAGAGGCCACCATTACAATAATCTGTTTTTTCTCACAACGCCTTTATTCTTTGTCCATGAAGCTTCGGAGGCTAATGTTAAATTTAAGCACTGAAGTATGGTTTTAAATTAAATAAATTACCTTCTTGCTTTTGATGGGTAAAATTCTCGTAGTTTTTTGTTCAGTCTGGACTAATATTCTTGAATGTTGACATTAGGGAATACTTTAGAATACCTTCATAAACTATCCAAAAAACTTCTAGTATGTGTAGTTTAAATGTAGCTGCAGAGTATAAGAAGTGTTCAATAAAGAACTGACTAGACACTCACAGGATTCAAAAATTATTTTTTTCAAGTTTTTGTTTTGTGATACTTTAACTGCTTGCTAGTTTATGTAGAGCTTCTGAAAAACACTTACCTTTAAAATATTTTTAAAAAAACACCTCTCCTTTGTGCTTTAAAGGTTTAAATGTTTGCTTCTATCTATGGAATTAATTTCATTAGCATATTAATAAATAAGTCACAAGTATCCTTATTCCCAATTGCTACAGGTTTTTAATTTCAATTGAAATTTTAAAAAGATACTTTGCTAAATAAGTGACTTGGCTGCAAGTTTGGGTTGATTTATCTGTTTATACCTCGTTTTTAGAATCCAAGCAAACCTCACTTTAACCATTACATGTTTGAATCAATATGCCTGTCGATAAGGATAACGTGCAAAGCAAACCCTGATGCAGTTGGAAGCTTTGAAGAGGCTTTGTTTATGGTGTTCACTGAGATACTACAGAATGATGTGCAAGGTAAATTAAAATCAGTAAGTGCGTGTGCTCTCTCTATTATAATTGGTTGCTATGATTTACCTCTTGGCAGTTTTTCTGTAAAACAGGAAGGCTGCTGAGAACACAGCATGTCCACAGTCCTAGTAAACACTTTTAGGAAGCATCCGGGTTGTTCCGTGGGGTACATCAACTGTACTAACTTTTCAAACAAACTGTATTTTTAAAATACCTAAAAATCACTACCCCAAAGTGTCTTATTGATTTGGGAAGTGATAAATTTCTCCAAGGTTTTATTTGTTGGAATCTTTGTGTTAATATCATAAAAGGGTAGGTTCACTCAATAGATACGTGGTTCTTACGAATTGACAGTGACCATATTTTCTGAATTTGTAAACGTCGTCATTTCTTTTCCAGAGTTCATTCCATATGTGTTTCAAGTGATGTCCCTACTTCTGGAAATGCATAAAAATGAAATCCCATCTTCCTATATGGCATTGTTTCCTCATCTACTTCAGCCAGTATTATGGGAAAGGACAGGAAACATTCCTCCTTTGGTCCGACTCCTGCAGGCTTATTTAGAGCGGGGTGCCAATACAATAGCAAGTGCTGCTGCTGACAAAATTGTAAGTTGGATTGATTTAGTTACAGTGTATGCCTCTAGACATGTTGATTTAAGATTAAAATTATAAGGAATTTTTTCCTTTAGTGAATAGCTGTATTTGTGCAGAATGCGTGCCTGTAATTCAAATTAATGGTGCTTACGTAGAAAGACAAAAAATACTATGAAGGCGTGCTTTTTGGATGCTTTTCCATTTCATGGATAAGGTAGACTAGACTGTCATGCTTCTGTCAGTTAAGATGTAAAATTCCTGCACTTAGTTTTTGCAAGCAGGTAAGTTTCCACAGTTTTCCTCTCTCATTTACCTCATGTTCAACACTATGGATCAGGAAGACTCAGAGGTTCTGTTCAGAACAGTCTTCAGACGAGTGAGTGAGGAGAAGCCAAAATATTGGGGGATCTGAGGATTAGTGAATTCAGTGGGAGATTTATTCTGCATACTTAGCTTTTGTTATTTCTGCTGCATGATCTGCTATAGTCAGACTTGATTAGACAATGCCATTGATGAAGCAGACATGCGTGTTCAAATTGGCTTTGGTGTTCCTTTGATCAAGGTTAATCTTAATGCTCAAAGCAACATCACTTGGTCCTGATAGAAATCTGTCTTCTTTATCCTTAACTGCAGAAAAAGAATCCCAGTTTAAATTATGAAAGCTTTTGCCTTGGTGTATGCCTTAGATGGTGGTAAGGGCCAACTTTGTGGTAGGTCGCATGTGAAGAACTGTTGTATGAAGTTCTATATTTGCTTTGCTTACAGCCTGGATTGTTAGGTGTGTTCCAGAAGTTGATCGCCTCTAAAGCTAATGACCATCAAGGATTCTATCTTCTAAACAGTATTATAGAGCATATGCCTCCGTGAGTATGATTTGAAATTGCATTCAAAACTAGTTTCTGTAGACTTCAATTTTTGGTATGTTTGTACACGCCACAGCTAATGTTTAACAGCGGAAAAATGTCACATTTATCAGTAAAATTGATTTGAACAATTCTATACGAGTTTTTCTTTGAAGTGACATTAGTAAAATCCTAGTATGGGTTGAATAACTGTTCTTTTAAATTTCCAGTGAATCGGTTGACCAGTACAGGAAACAGATCTTCATTCTACTATTCCAAAGACTTCAAAATTCCAAAACAACAAAATTTATTAAAAGTAAGTTCCTTGCTATAAAAAAGCTTCAGTGCTGGTAATGCCAAGAGTTAGAACATGCAGCTGTGCTGAATAAGTATCCTATCACGTCCTGTGATTATGCAGATGAAGGGACACCAGTGACTCTTCAGATCAGTGACTTGCTTCAAATTATTTGTGTAATCAAGGGTGGCATATAGAGCACTCGCCACAGCAGGTGACACTTATTTCATGAAGACTGAAGGAATGGAGCTAAAATTAGGGAGAAGACTTGTGTATTCCTCCCAACTTTCTTACTTTGTGTGATATCATTAATTATTTCAAAGTGTCTCCGTTTAATCCTCAACTAATACCAGCAAACTTTCACTCTCACAGAACGCAATAACACTGACCGCACTTGCTTTTGTTATATATAGTTGCACGCTATTACTGTTAAATATTTTATGCATTTGTGTCATTCTGCCTTAATGTGACTGAATTTATTGATAAGGTTTTATGTTAAACTAGCAAAGTTGTGACAAATTCTTGAAATACATATTCTGCTTATTCCTGCTGTAACGGGAAGATTATTGTCATACTCATTAAATTATTTTAATGATTCCAAAACTACACAAATTATGCAATGTTTATTATTTAATCCCATAAACTCTGATTAATACCGAGTGATAGGATTGCTTATAATGGTCTTCCACAAACAAAATTTAAGTGGTGCTTTTAATGCATTGCATCTGTGCTCAGGTACAAAGGCTGTGCAAAGGGGTTCACAACTGATGTGAAAACCGGCATTGCATGAAGTTTTTGGCTAACAGCATTGAAGAATTCTTTTGGTCCTTGATCAGAAAAATCTGCAAATAGCTTATCTAATGCTTTAGAACTGCTGTAAGGGGGGAAAAGGACTAAATCTTTTCTTAGTTGTTTTACAGCCTTGTTTTAGTGTGTTGCAGTACATGGAAAGATCAGCAGCTTTTAGACAATCTTCAAGGCAGCAAGTTACTGTGCTTCACTAAAACTGAGCATTTATAAAGATTGCCATTTCTATCCCCTTGAAAAACTTGTTAGAATGTATTCTGCTGCTGACTCCAAAGCTATTCTTTTGTTTTCATGTTGAGTTTTAATTTGACTTTTTTCTTGTTGCAGGTTTCCTAGTCTTCATTAACTTGTACTGCATAAAATATGGGGCATTAGCTCTGCAGGAAATATTTGACAGCATACAGCCAAAGTTAGTGTGATTTGTTTTTTTTATTTAAGACTGCTATGTAATTTTTATCTTTTAAAGTAGGAAATAGTTGTCTTCTTTAGCAAAAATTGCAAACTGCATTTCTCACAAATTTGACTAGCCAAATATTTCTTCTAATGTGGTTGATTTCTTTGTCTAGCGATTTTTCTTTTTCTGATTTGCTGCCTACAGTTCCCTGTTGATAGTTCAAGATATTAATCTCCATGTTTTTATTCTCCCTTTGTGGAAAGCTTGTATGCTTAAATTTCTACCAGACACCTACTGCGACAGGGCAGCACCGTGACAAATTATCTGCTTTATATTGTTTCTAATTTTCTTTTGTTACCACAAGGCTGATAAAGCTTTCTAATACTTTTTCTTTTAATGTCATAATAGGATGTTTGGAATGGTTTTGGAGAAAATTATAATTCCTGAAATCCAGAAAGTGTCTGGACAAGTAGAAAAGAAAATCTGTGCTGTTGGCATTACAAAAATATTAACAGAATGTCCTCCTATGATGGACACTGAGTACACCAAGCTATGGTATGTAGAACACTTCAAGTTCTGCTAGTAAGGCTATTTGATTTTTTGAAAACGTGAGCTATTCTCAAAATATATTCTTCAAGTAAACTCTGTTGTGATTTCTTCAGGCCTGCTATTGCTATGAGGCTGAGTTTCAGCCTTTTCATACCACTTCCTTTTCTCAACAAATAAAACGTATTTTCAAAGCAGATGCCAGAACTGGTTTGAGATTTTTATGATGGAGGTAGCACTGACTGGGCTATCAAAGAGTGCATTTAAGAAAATACATGACTGTCTTTTAGCTTGTATTCTTTCTGAAAAGCTAGGCCCAGTTTTGACTTCCAACTGTTCTACTAGTCAGGAGACCTGACAGAGAGACTGTAAGATCTTAGCATGACAGTAGAATTTTGGGGAAAGCTATCTGGGAAGATTGTAAGCCAGCCTAGCAGTCTAGGCTGTCAGGTAGCCTGAATGTAATGACAATAACTGGGTCCCTGAAGTAGAGATTTTATTTTTTTTTTTAATGTCCTTAGTGAAAAGGTGTAATCTGGAAAACAATTGCTTTTCTTAGGTATGTTTCACGAGAATTTGAACTGATAAAAAATAAATGCATTGTTCATGCTTTTAATATGAGCACTTACTGCACAGACTCTTAGTTCTTCAAATCCAGCTTAGATTGAGTACTTGCAATTTCAGTAGCTAATCAAGTACCTGCAAGGGCTGAACTGTAAAGGGTGCAGAGTCATTTGAACATTCTTGTAAAATACACCTTGTCCTAACATATTTTAATCACTCCAATTTTATCCTCCCCTCTTTACATATAGGACTCCTTTGCTGCAGGCCCTCATTGGCCTCTTTGAACTGCCCGAGGATGACACTATCCCTGATGAAGAACACTTCATTGACATAGAAGATACTCCAGGATATCAGACTGCATTCTCTCAGCTAGCCTTTGCTGGAAAAAAAGAACACGATCCTGTAGGTCAAATGGTGAACAATCCTAGAATCCATCTGGCACAGTCTCTTCACAAACTGTCTACAGCGTGCCCAGGCAGGGTAGGTGACTTTTATACATGGCATGCTAATGCTAAATTCTACAGAGAAGAAAGGCTTTTTTGATAATGGGTCTCTCTTGCTAATGTTTGATAATCAGCAAAATGAAGTATGTCATAACCAGAATGTTAGGTATTGCTCTCTTTTAGTCTTTAATGGAATATAGCTTTTGTAAGGTTGTTTTTTTTCCCTAGTAACCTTAGAAACACCACATTTTCACGTTACTTAATTCAGCAATAAGCTTAAATATTCCAGTTCTTAAATGAAAATTTATCAGCTTGTAGTTATATGACTAATACTTGTCTGCAGGTCAATTGTATGTACTCAGGAAATTACAGGCAATTCACATTAAACGTAAACAATTAAAGTTTACAGTTAACTATTTTAACCCATAGTGGTTTTGTTTTAGTCAAGATTTTGGTAAGTACAGATTGCCTATATATGAAAGCTGATGTTTGTTGCATTCAAATATCTGCTTTAATAACTGAAAGTTTTCTCTTCTTTCATATTTGATTCAGATAAGTAGTATGTAAAACTGTCAGCATCAGGAATTATAATTCCAGCAACTGCTTTCACAATGAAAAACTGCTGCTCTCAGAATGTCGTTTGACTTTGTACCATATGTTAACACAGTGATTAACAGGGTATAACAGTAGCTTAATGTATACACACATTGACACTTCTGCTCTATCATATGTTTTAAGGTTCCATCAATGCTGAGTACTAGTCTGAATGCAGAAGCGTTGCAGTATCTCCAAGGATACCTCCAAGCTGCAAGTGTGACACTGCTCTGAATTGCATATATTCCACAAGCAAGATCAAAAGGTGTTTTGTTATACAGAAGGTTGACAGTGACTTTTTTATAGCAGAGCTCAGACAAAATGAAAAATGCTACTTGAAAATGTATTGCAGAATCCATCTTGTAAAAGATAAATGTGGCTTTAAGCAGAAACTGAAAGAATTCGGTGGTTTGTGTACCATAGATAAAAGGTGGCTAACTTCCATTCCCAGTTTAATGTCAAAGGGAATAGTCATAGCAGTTTGTTATGGGATTTATTTGAAATCTGCATCTGCAGTGTTTGGATAACATTTTGAAATGTATGGAGAGCACTGGCTGTAGAAACTCACTTTGGTCACTAAAATTCCTTTTCATTTTGATGTTGTCCTTTGTATTTCTTTTGTCTTTCCTTAAACTTTATCTAAATTGTGAATAAATAAGAAGTACTTGTTTAAAATGCCTGTCACTGTGCGCTTACTGTTTTAGAAGAATGTAGTTGGTTTAAAAAAAGATAATGTTTTAAACTTAGGATAGAATATAAAATAGTGGGACTGTGAGGATTTCTCTTTATCTTAAGTAATAGTTTAAATACGTTGTAGTGTCGTACAGAGCAAATGTAAAACTGGCCTAAGATCCAAAGCTATTATCAGTCTTGATGTTCATCAACAGGTGCAGCCCTTCTCTTTGGACAAGATAAGTCAGTATAGTGCAGTAAAAGCAATTAATATACCCTCTTAGAGTGGGTATCAGTCTCCAAGCAGATTTTTAGTGATGTACTAAAACTGAAGCGGTGATCTTAATGAGTTACGTTTAACTTGCATGTTCTCCCTGTCTCCTCATAAATATGCTGATTCGCTTTGGTAGCCTCAAATTGTAAGCGCATCAGTTTACCTTGTAGTTATGGCTGTTTAAGTGACTAGTGAAATGCCGGAGCCTTACTGTGTTCTCAGGTGGCCGGGGCGCCAAACTGCTAGAGCGTAGGCTTTTGGAGCACTGGTACTGCAGGGGTATAAACAAATCTAATTATAGAGACTGAAAAACTCCTGAATAAGAGTGAAGTCTCAGACTTATGTGATATTAAGCAATGACATACGTGACAGATGTTTTTAGTTACTTGTCCACAGAAATTCTGCAGATGACTTGAATCGGGACTGGTTTTCGTAGTTAGAATGCCTGTTGAAGTTGGGCCTTGTGTCAAGAAAGTTACTGAATTTACTGAGGGTGAAACACAGGGCAGAATCAGCCGTCTCAGTTCTTCCTTAGTATTTGTGGCTGCCATGTGAGAGTGCATGCTGGCCATATCTCTTAACATATAAAGAAATTAGTTGCTTGTTAGACAATGGATTTAAACTACTAAGTGCCTAAAACTATATTAAATGAGTCAGCATCAACAGGTTTTCTTGGATCTGGTCTGCAGTGCAGTGCCAGACCCTCTTTGTTCATAGGTATGAAGTGAAAGCAGTTCTCAAGAGGGAAATAATACAGTGGTGATAATGAAAAGCATCTGCCTTAATGCTGATGAGAGAGACTGTGATGTGTGTTATAAGTTTGCCGAAGCGCCTTGCAGAATGAATTTCAATAGACAGGCTGAAATCACATGGGAGATGTGTGACATTTGCAAGGAACTGAATGCCTACCTCGAATGTCAATGTTAATTGAGCTGTGGTCATTCAAAACCTGCAAGCCAAAAGGATACTCTGAACTCTGCAGCTTTGTCTTTTTCCTTGGATAATAGGGAGAACAATTCTACAGAGAACTTGCTGACAGGATAAAAAGGTCTGCCTCAAAGAACAAAAATTAAATTGGTACTGGTGGTCATGTAGCAGTGATTTGACATGCTGCCTTTGCATCTATTCAAGCAGACAGCCTACACATGTATGCTAGATAACCTCGTGCTGAAATGGGTTCTTCAGCACTATGCGATATTAAGGGGCTCGTTGTATTAGACCATCGTAGTTCTGCAGCTCTAAGCAAGATTTCTTTAGGGAACAGGTTGCTGCGATATGTAAGTAAGCGAACAGATGTTTCTTATCTAACCAGTACCAACCATAGATGGAACTGGACAGAATTTATGGCAACAAGCCAGAACCTGTTTGAGAGGTAGCCAAAGAAAAATTGGCTCTTCTGAATGGAAAATTATCAGTGAATCTTGATGTTCACTATTTTGCACTTCCTGCAATGTGTGACTTTTTGTTGTTGGACAGACATTCTGTGTGAATAAGTGCCTAAGTGACTTCACCAAATACCAGTGGCATACTTGTCCTTTAGTTCGCTCAGAGTTGAGTAACTTAAACTTTGTAGATATGGTTGTAGTTGTGGCCCTGTTAGTGACATGTTATTTAGCGCTGATGTATTCTGCAGACTTCATAAGGCATGCAAGTGTTTATGTAGAGCACTTACCCTTTCAGGGAAATGAACTTTTCAAGTGTTGTGCAGACAAGCAGATGCGTCTCTTCTTCGGAGCACAGGCAAATGTTACTGGCAATGCCCTCATCTTCATTTTGGTGGAGACCTTACTGCTGCTTCTGACACCTCCTCTTCTCGAGACTCAGGAGGCGACACAATGTTCCAGTTATATTTATCTGTTAAGTTTAGTGGAAACTGATGCAAGCAATGTCGTAACAGTTTTCGCAAGATTGTTAAACTTCCCTAGGCCACCCTTTGATGTATTCCTTGTTGGGCAAATACCAGCTAGTTTAGAAAGCTCAGGCTGGAAACACCTCCTTTCAATGGCTCTTCGGAGGACTAATTAAATGTTAGACAATTAACTCCTGATCATCTTCTGAAATGCTTCTGAAAATAAGTAGCCAATTCTCCCTTGCAGTTGATAATGGTAGATTATTCAAATTTGAGGGGAAAAAAGATTACTTGCTCTGGTTTGAGTGGGTAACCTGTTTTGGGATCTTTTGACACCACAGAATTTTAATCTACTGTCCTTTTTTGGAGCCTACTGACTGACTTGTGGTTGCCAACTTCTTAATGTTCTGAGGCTTTTGTAGCAGAAGAAATACCTTATTGTTAGTTTAAGGGACCAACAGAAACAGAAAAAAGAAAACTCAACCCCACCCACAAGACCAGTACCTGTTCTTGTTTTCTTGGGTTGTGAATGGGCC